ACAATGTATACACATATAAGTAAATGTAAAAATGATAAAATAAAGAAAAAAGAATTTGAGATGCACAATTAGGTTATTTGTTTGTGATCTCTCTGATTTTTAAATGTAGGCACTCATAGCTATAAGCTTTCCTCATAGAACTATCTTTTCTATATCCCATACAGTTCTGTTAGTTGGATGTTTTATTTTCATTTGAGTCTAGGAATTTTTGAATTCCCCATTTTTCTTCAATGACCCAGAGAAAATTCAAAAGTATATTTCCAATATTCATGTTTGCAAAGTTTTTGTAGTTCCTCTGGTATCAGTCTCTATTTTTATTCCATTATTATTTCTAAGATACAAGGAATTGTTTCAGCTTTTTTGTATTCAATAAGACTTGTCTTATGGCCTAAAGTTTGTATAAAGTTCGATAGGATGTTGAGAAAAATTTGTATTCTGCATTTGTTGGACTGAATATTCTGCAGATGTTGGTTAAGTCCATTTGATCTATTTTGAAGTTGAGCTCTAAATTTTATGAGTTTTCTGGATAAATTATTTATTTATAAGAGTGGGATATTAAAATAACCCACTATTATTGTATCTTGTCCTGTCTGTCTCTTTATGTCCTGTGGTGAATGCTTTATGAAACTGGACACACAAATGTCCAGTGCACATACACTTACCTTTGTTATATCTTCTTATATGTCATATCATTTATTGGTATCTAATAGCCTTTTTTATATCTTATGACTAGTTTTGACTTGACATGTGCTTTGTCAGATATGAATATAGCTATTCAAGCTTGCTTTGAGGTTGCATGTGCTTGGAATATCATTTTCCATCTTTTTATGTTAAATCTGTGTATCTCTCTGCTTGTGAGGTATGTTTCTTAAAGACCACGAACACTTGGATTTTATTTTTAATACAATCAGCCCGTGTCTATGTTTTAAATTGCAGAGTTCCCCTTTATAGGTATATTAAGACTCTCCTCTTGACAACACCCCACTTAAAAAGTATAGTGTTCTATTATATTGTACATTTTCATGAGGGCATATGAGTTTTAATACATATATAATTGTGTAATATTCCAATCAGGACAAACATATATACCACCCACAACATTTATCATTTCTTTGGGGAAAACATTCAAAATCTTTTTTTAGCTGTTTTGGAAAATACAATGCATATTGTTATGTACCATTTATCTGGGAATGTCAGGAATTTTTACCACAACTCCTCTTTCCTTACATTTATTTTTTACATGTTTTATTGTAGAATCTTGATTTTCAGAGACTAAAAATATGTTTAATAATATACAGTTGTCAGGAGTAAAATGTGAGTTAAAGTAAGTCAAGAATTTGTTTTAAAAATAAAATTTGTACTCTTTTCTGTTTTGTTTTTTTTAGCATAGTGATGATTCATAATAAAACCCTTAGAATATCAGGAAGTAGAAGTACTAGTGATAGACCTAGGGCTATTTACCTTTAAAGATTATAAGGTTACGTTCATTAGACATGTAGATAGATGACTGATTGATAGAGTCCTGGTGTGTGTGTATGTGTTTTATGTGCCATGTCTCAGCTCTTGGATGTTGTGTGTCATTCTGTCTGTAGCAGCTCTTAATGTCATTGATATATGAGGAACGCTGAGTGATGGATCTATCCCCTCAACCACACTTTGGTGCCAGCACTGGCATGAATCGGCCTTTTTGAGTGGGGTGCATTTGAGAGGAGAGTCTCAATATGCCACCAAAACTGTGCTATATGATATGGCAATCTCATTTTGCTAACAGATTCTCAAATTTTGGATGGCAAAAATAAGAAATTTCTCTAAGGATTTGTGTTTCAGATGTGATGTGAGGCCATCAGGAGTTGTAAATGACCTATCTAGTAGTCTTTTTACTTTCCCCTTTGTGCCCTGTCATGTGTTAGTCTGTATGAACCACTTAGTGATGTATCATTGATAAACATCGGTCTCAAGGTGCTAAAGCTATGTATGGCTTTTTCTCTGAGAGTCACGGCCAAGGCGATTTTGGCCAAAAGCCCTTCTGTTTTATTATGGTTGTTCAGTTACTCACATGAGCATACATTGCTTGGGCCATTTCTCCCCCTGCCCTCTTCCACCCTCTCTCCTCCCCTCCTCGCTTCCAGGCAGAACCTGTTCTGCCCTTCTCTCTAATTCTGTTGAAGAGAAGACATAAGCATAATAAGAAAGACAAAGCATTTTTGCTAGTTGAGTTAAGGACAGCTATACAGAGAGATTCCTAGCATTGCTTCCATGTACAAATGTGTTACAACCCAAGTTGATTCATCTCTAGCTGATCTTTACACTGATTCCTGATCCCCTTCTCATGTTGACCTCTGTCGCTTTAAGGTTTCTGTATTAGTTCCTTTGCAGTGGGGACATCATACGCTTTCATGTTTTGGGTTTCTACCTATCCCCATACCTCCCGTATGTGCTCTTCCCTTGTCATATGACCCAAGTCCAACCACATTTGCTGTATTTGCCCTAGATCTAAAGTCTGCGTATGAGGTTATCATTTGCAGGTAAATGGATGGAACTGGAGAACATCATTCTGAGTGAGGTTAGCCAGGCTCAGAAGACCAAAAATGGTATGTTCTCCCAAAAGCCCTTTTTAACTGTCAGGAGCAATGACAGTTCTGGGAACCTAATCTGCTTCACTGAGAGGATGTGACGATGGACTGACTTAGTGATCCTAAACCTTCTATAGTATAGCAGGTGACTACTTTGGAAATTTTGAGTCTCTCTTCTTCTTCCTAATTCTAGTCTTCACTCTCTTTGAATTATAAAAACACATTCCTTTAGAGCTTACTGATTTTTGACCCAAGACCAGGAGGCTCTAGGAACATTATTTTAAATGTTTAATACACGATTTATAGTCAACCCACAGACTGCTGGAATAGTTAAATTAGATGTAAAAGGACTAGTTACTAAATGCATTGTAAAAATGAATTGAGGATCATGATGTACAAACTTGTCTGGAACACTGGTAGTGAAAGAATAATGCAGCATGTGGAGGAATGTAGAGAGCTTAGGGAGAAGACAGAGAGCAAGCGTGCATGCAAACAAAATTTAAAAGTACTGATTTGAAAGAGACTATGAGAAAGGCAATATAGAGGATTGTCTTAAATTCTAATTTCCCCAGGTTTTGGATTTTTTTGCAGTACAGGGGATTGAATTCAGAGACTCATGCTTATAGGCAGGTACCCTACCACCTAAGTCGACCCATTTTATGTTGGCTATTTTTGAGATAGAGTCTGCCTTTGAGACAGAGCTGACCTAGATCATGATTCTCCAATTTGTGCTTCCTCAGGTAGCTGGGATTACAGGTGTGAACCACCCTACCCAGCCCTTTCTTGAGAAGGAGATCTCACAAACATTTTTTGTCCAGGCTGGTCTCAAATAGAGATCCTCCTAATCTCTGCCTCACAAGTAACCTGGATTATAGATTTGAACCACTGTACTCTACTCAGCCCAGATATTAGATTTTTAATGCTCTGACTCTCTACCCTACCTAAGAGTTTTAGCCTATTCTTTATTACTTATATGTGATGGTGTGAGTCTATGCATCTTTTTTGCACTGTAGGGACATCAGCAGGGACACGAACTGTGACAAGCATGAATAGGATTGAAAGATGAGCCCAGTGCTCAGTATCCACTCTAAGAGGCAGATATTATTTACCTATGTTGATACAGAAAGAAACAAAAGGGAGGAGAGGGGCCTTCTCCATGTTCCTAGGACTTGACAAAGTTGGAATTGGGACTAGACATCAGGGCTTTTTACTTTGCTCCTTCCTTATATTACACTGGCAAATTGTGTGAGGAAAGTAGAGAAGGAAATAGATTTATATACTATAGAATGACAATCTGGGGAAGTGGGACAAACAGGTCAGGTGGTTTTAAGCTTCAGAGAATCTTTGAGATAGAAAGGGCTTTCTCCCCCTCAATCAGAGAGACTTATACCACCAGTTAGACAGACCTCTCCCTCCCCACCTGTTCTCCAAGTGCCATCAATGACTGAAACTGGGAGATAAAGGAATAGCCTCTGAGTCACAAGCACTTTACTCAATGAGAATATCCTGAACAGGATATTCCCTAGTTTTCAGAGTCCCTGTCAATCCAGTTATGAATGAATTTGCATTTTGGTTAGGAAATTGTTGAGTAATCCCAGTTTAAGGCTGATCCACTTACTCCCTCTGGGTGGGGCAACAGGCCCTATAAAGAGGTCCTTTGACACATTACTTCTATACTCCTGGTACTCAAGTGCTGATCTACACTGGAGGACCTGGTGAGTCTTATTCTGATGTCTTGAGTCTATCTGTCAGTCCTCTGAAGTGCTGAATTTAATCTGGAGACAGCAAGTTTGGTGAATCCAAATTATGATGATGGGGTAGATATTACTTAGTAGATGAAACTTAGGAATGAAGCACAGTGATTCTCCATGTTAACTTGCTTTTTCTTTTGTTTGTTATGCAGTTTGATATCCATATGGAGAAACGAAATAATAGGAAGCTTTGTTTCAAAGAAGGGAACAAAGCAAAGCATTTTTCTCTTTTCCATACTCATTTGATGTATTAAGTTGACATGTGACTCCTGAATTCTCCTGACAAATCCATTCTTTTGTATACCTCAATTGTCCTACTCACCAGGAATAATACTGAAAATAACTGCTTGTGAGATTTCTCAGGATTTTTGAACCTTTGACTGCGTTTCTAGAATGTGTTATTTTCTTATAAATAACATTACTTAGCTCTTTTGAACAAATAATTTCTTTGGAAAAAATAGCATGAGATGAAGGTTTTGCCAAGCTGAAAGAAGCAAATTGAGATATTGGAAAGGAGACTCCAGAAGATATTAAAAAGTTAAGAATTTAAAGTATATTCTTACAGACAGGTGTAATATTCCATGATTTTAGATAACTTTGGCTTCTTTCATTTATAGGAGTTTCTTCTTGTGAACACTGCCATGTAATTTCTTTCAGATTCTGCAACTCCAGAAAGATGTCTTATCAACAGCAGCAGTGCAAGCAACCCTGCCAGCCTCCTCCTGTGTGTCCACCCCCAAAGTGCCCTGAGCCATGTCCACCCCCAAAGTGTCCTGAGCCATGTCCACCCCCAAAATGCCCTGAGCCGTGCCTACCTCAGCAGTGCCAGCAGAAATGTCCTCCTGTGCAGCTTCCCCCACCCTGCCAGCAGAAGTGCCCACCTAAGAGCAAATGATGGTTTCAAGATACATCAGGACCATGAAGGCATAAGAGAAACTGAACCATCAACTTTCATGGCAACAATTTGATCTCTTCAGAGCCTGTCATGGATGCAGAAGAATCTTCTACACCCATTAGCCTATAATCTACTTGTGATGATTCCAACAATGAGAGCTGTTGTTCCTGAGACAGTTATATTGTCACTGTCCAGGAGGTGGCTGACATCTAGCAGACCTTCCAGAAGGAAGAGCAGCAGCTACCTCTCTGGTGCCAAGAGAGGATGTCTTCCATGTCTATAACCTATGCAGGGATTTATTTCTTCAACCTGAGCAACTGTAACTCTCCTGCTATTTCCCAAATAAACTTCATTTTTTGGTCATTGTCTGAATATTTTCTTTTTCATCAAACCTCCTCTATCATTTTTGACTTACTTCTATCCTTCTTTGATTCCTTCGTTAGGCTTTTACAATCAGTGCTTTCTGAATTTTTGGTCATTCCAAAGATTACCTCTATACTATTTCAACTCATGCTGTTATCCTTAATTATTATTTGATTGTTTTTGAAAAACAAATTATTCAATTCCTCAGAAATTCAATCTCTCTTCTGAACATATAGGAAAAGTCATATTTATGTCACAAACTTGTCTTTGGCATAAGATTGAATGAGTTTTTGTGGTTTGTTTTGCACAATGCCTGACAGCTAATTACCACTCAATAAGTTGTTGTGTATCTTCAGTAGCAGATTTCTGCTATCATCTCCATCATCGTCATCATCACTACCACTAACACATCTGCTCCATCAAGAAAGTGACTTACACATACCCAGTGCAGGAAATATGATTCATCATTTTCTGTTATTCCCTTTATTTTCTAATGAACCTAATTTTTCTATGCAATATTGCAGAAAGATCTTTTTGGGAGTTGGTGGAGTGTCCTTTGTAAAGTTATAACATTCATTAAAACATAGGTAGTACAAAAGAAATGGAGGAAAAAGAAGAATCAATTATCCTCTGCTCCATATGTACCAACTTCTTATTCTAAAATCCCACAAAATTCTGGATATCATTGCTCATTTCTGAAATTATATTCTGGAGTATTCTGACTCTGCATTTGAAAAAGTATTTATTTATATTTGAAACAATTTGATTCTCCTATGCTTATTTTCCAAGTGTCTGGTTTATTGATCAAGGAAGCACCTGAATGGAGGGATAGGTATATTTTCTCTTTTGGTCTTGTTTTCCAAAATGGGAATATACATTAAATGAGAAGGAAATATTCTCTACTACTCTATGAAGTTTAAAATAAAAAATTTCATTTTATTACAAGGGTTGCCTGCTGAATTACAAGGCCCTTGAGGGAGATTTGAATCTCAGTGATTCCTTACAGTAGTCCTTGAGTCATTTCCAAAGAAGTGTAGTTAAATCCTTAGTGATTGATTTAAAGCACAGAATGCTGAAAAATGTTCTGAAGAGATTGACCAGTATGACATAAACTTCAGTATGCCTTTCTTTTGGTACTTTTGAAATTATCTAACATTCCCTGCTCCTGAACAACAGTGAAATTTTCATTGGTAAATAATATGTGAAAGGAAGAGTCTTGTTAATAGAATTCATGACAAGATGCTAAAACGGAAGGGAGGGGGAGCCATGTATGTTCTTGATGGTAATGTTTTGAGATCAAAGAACATTCTTGGGGAGTGAGTAAGTGAAGGCTCAGCTCATCAGAAGGGTTGTCTTTTGTTCAAATTCAGGAAAATTCCTCTTGTGAATTCTGTCAATTGGAGTCTGTTGATCTTCTGAAAGTTGGGAAGGATCCTTCAGCAGCAGCAGGAGCCCTGCAAACAGCCCTCCAGTCACCTTCTGTGTCCTTACTTCATGCCCTGTCTTCCCACATCTGTATCCTTGGATATCATTATTGAAGAGTTATAATCTATAGAAGAAGTCATTTTGCCTTATTTTTCATATCTCTTCTGTTGCTACTTTTTATTTGCACATTTGTTGAAATATGTAGGCTCTTCTGGTTTTATATGAAAGTCTCTTTATGAGAAACCATCTCTTGAGGGTTCAATCCCAGAACCACTCAGAGAAAAGAAAGCAAACCATCATAATAACACCACCAAAATGCAAACAAAGAAATCTGTTAATTATCAATAAAGGACAATTACTATACTATTATAATCATAGAAAAGAAGGTAGCAAATAATTTAGAATAAACTACAAAGTTCAAAATTACTCAAGATGAACATAATGATAAGAAGAGAATCAAGGTTGGATGTGCTGGTACATAGCGTCATCTGAGCACTTGAGAGGCAGGGGTGGAAAGATCACAAGTTCTTGGCCAGCCTGGGCTACACAGCAAGCTCCATGTCATCCTTGCCTAAACTGTGAGACCCTGTCTTAAATTAAGAAAAGAATTTAATAAAGGAGAGTGTAGGGAAAGGTAAAAATGAAAGAAACAAATTTCAATAAAAGCAATATAAAGTAGGGGAAAAAGGAAAAGAATGTGAAGAAGAGGAAAGAGCAGTAGATTAAAAAAATTCCAACTACAAAACAAAGAAAAATGTATGTAAATACAATTAGATAAAGGTAAGAAGAAAAAAATGAAAAGATTCAAAGAATCTAAAATAATGTAAAAAAATACTAAAAAGTATAGTAAAAAGAAAACTTGAAAAAAATGACAAAGAATTGAAAAAGTTAACTTCCAGATTCTTTAATGTTGGAATCCATCTGGTCTGGGCCATGCGGAAGAAGGTCATAGTGGAAGTCTATAGTAGTTTCTCTCTGTTCCCACTATACCATGTAGTTGAGGGCTGGGCCAATCAGTAGTACTTTGTCAGTGTCAGGGCCCTGCTCACTTTAGAAGCTGGCTCCAAAGAGCTTTGCAGCCTGTAGGCCAGGCAAGTTCCCACTCACTCCAGAGTCCCCCCACCTTCCAGTTTGTACCCCCAGCAGTAGCAAATATCCAGGCTGAGGGTTTTGCCCTGAGTGTGTCGGAGAATGGGGTAAGCACACAGAACACTGATCTGTACTGGAAAGGAGAACTAAGGCAATCAGGCAGTGTAACTGCTTGTCTCAGTGCTTTCAGATCCCACTCAGTAGTAACACACTCTACAGATGAGGAGAGAGTTGAGAAAATGAATGATCTTCATGACTTGGGTTCAGTGTTCTCTGTCCCATCTAACAGAAAGGCAGCTACAGAGGCTGAGCAATCTGTTGGCCCATTCCCCTTTGAGGAATCCACTAATTTTCACACTAATCCATAGCCAATAAGGAGTTCTCCTTGCTAAAAATGATGAGGCCACTATTCACTTTGCTTGCCACCTACTGGATTTACTTATGCTTAAAATTCTCAGTGGGTCCATATCTGATCTCACCCCTATCCTTGACTGCTTTTGTGGCCATTTTCTAACCCTGACACAGCATCAGGGGTTGGATCTCAGGATCCATAAATCAGGTCCCCAGTATCTCAGACTCAAACAATGGGCCACCTCTCAAGATGGTGCCTGGCTCTCTGAGATGTGGGGAATAATCAAATGGATTTAATCTCAGTGCTGGCCTGCCACACAGGGGGATTACTGAAATAAAAAATCTCTACTCTAGATTTAAGGTTTATAAGAACTGTAGATTTCTTCTGTGGCTAGGACAGCTAGTCTGTTGTCACCAGGGTTTCCTGGCTTACCCTGTGGTTGTAAGGTACAACTCCTGGCCTCCAGTTCTCTTTCCTCTGCTAAGGGGGTGTTACAGTGAAGAAATACTTCCTGCATTTCTCTGTGTAACCTTTCTGTTTCTCCATGTTTTTTAGCTGTCCTGTTGCTATTTTGTGATTTGTGAAGCTTTTCTCCTCTTTCTCTCCTTTAAATATTATCTCTTCTTTGTTATCCTTACGCATTCATGGGGTCACATGGAGGAAACTTCCAATCTACTATTCTTACCCTGGAAGTCCTTCATTTCAAAGCTCATGGATGTTAAAATTTGAAGAAACTTTAATTGTTGAAGGCCATCCTTCATCTGTGGCAGCTCTTCATGTGGCTAATCTGTGAGGAACTCTGAGATTCAAGAGAATCAACTCAGCTCACACAGTGACTAAGGCTGCTGTGACTTTGGTGCTTGCCCTGCCATGAAGCAGCCTTTTTAAGTGGGGTATTTTCAGAGTGAGAGTCTCAAAGTATAACCCAAACTCTGCTGACACTGTAATCACTTGTCCAATAGATTCTCAAATTTTGGATGGCAGATCTCAGACACTTCGCCAAGGATTTGTGGCTTAGTTGTGATGTCAGGCTACTGGGGAGTGGTAAGTGTCCTATTGAGTAAAGTCCCTTTACTTTGTCCTTAGCATTTTGGTATGTGTAACAGTGCATATGAACCATCTAGTAATGAAACCATTTGTAAACACCTGGCCTCATGAAACCTGCAGTGTCATAGCTAGTGATCATTTTGATCATAATCTCTTCCTTATTGTAATAAGCAATGACAGTTCTGGGAACCTAATCGTGTCACTGAGGGGATGTGATGCTGGGGTGATTCAGTGTTCCTGAAATTTCTGTAGCATAGCTGGTGACTGCTTTAGAGATTTGGAATCTTTCATCTTCTTCTTTCTACTTAAAACCAGGTACATAGAGGCTTCCTGATCATTTGACCAAGATAAGGAGACATCACTTTAAATGTTTAATACAAGCTGGGCACCTATGGCTCACATCTATAATCCTAGCTACTCAGGAGGCAGAGATCACTTTGAAGCTAGCCCAGGGAAATAGTTCACAAGACTCTATCTCAAAAATATCCAACGCATACACACATAAAAAGGACTGGTTAAGCAGAATGAAATTATGTTGTTTGCAGGTAAATGGATGGAACTGGAGAACGACATGTTAATGAAGTCAGCCAGGCTCAAAAAGTCAAAGATTTCATGTTTTCCTCATATGTGGAAGCTATACCTATAAGTTAAATGTATATATAAATGCATATATGATCATATGTGTGTATATATATATATGTATATATATGTAGTAAGAGAGAAAACAAGATTGTATTAGTGAGTCTGTCTGAGGGGACTCTAGGAGGCAGGAATGGGAAAGAAAATTTTAGAGAATGAAAAATATTGAAAGATCCATCTGTAGATGAATATAATATAATGTATTGCACTGTAACTGTTGAATGTTATGGAAGCATGGTGATAGAGAAAGACTAAGTTATGGCGGGGGGGTTAATTTGATTAAAGCATGATATATACAGGTCTGAGGTACCAAGGCAGAACCCACCAGGACTATCAATATAGATTTTAAAAAAATGAAGGACAGTAGGGTAAAATAGGTCTTTTCTTGATGTGGATACCATGAGAGAGGAATGGACATAAGGAAAGTGTGATAGAGTGTGAATATGGTAGATGTACTTTGTATTCATATATGAAAATAGAAGAATGAAACCTGCTGAAATTGTTCTAAAAAAAGGAGGGAGGAGGTGGTGAGGGAGAATGATGGAGGGGGTAAACCTAAGATGTATTGCAAGCACATGTGTAAATATCATAATGATCCCTCTTTACAACTATTATATGCTAATAAAATAAAAATTTAAACAACGGTTACTATAAAAAAGGGAAGGGTGCTGGTGGAGTAGCTCAAGTGGTACTACACCTGACTAGAAAGCATGTGGCCCTGAGTTCAACCTCCAGTATCACAAGAAAGAAAGAATTTAATATACAATATTTAGGCAGCCTGCAGATTACATTAATAACATATGTCTTGACTGACCAAGATGTACTAATAGGCCACATAAGAATTCTACCCAAGTTCTCTGTGGTAGTGAGAGGATACTGTAGAAGGTAGAGAGGGGAGAAGAACTTTGGGGAAGAATAAACTTGCATGCAAACAAATTTTTAAAATACTGTCTTTCAAAAATTTAAAATGTGTTTGGAAAGAGTGTAAAAGAAAGTCAGTATATGGGATTGTACTAAATTAATGTCCACCACCATTTTAAACTTTTAATACTGACTCTCTGTCATCTCCAAACCTAATCTCTATTATTTCCATATGATGTTGTAAGTCTGTGCCTCTTGTTCTGTACAATAGGAAAAGTCTGAGCAGACTATGTAAGCATGGGTCAGTAAATACATTTATATAGTATTTTTGTGATACTAGAATTTAAAATTAGGGTCTTGCAATTGCTATACAGATGCTCTACTGCTTGAGCCACACCTCCAGTCCCTTTTTGCTTTAGTTATTTTTTGAGTAGTATCTTGCTATTTTCCTTGAGTTGAGCTTGGACTGTGATTCTTCTGATCTTTACCCAAAAGTACCTGAAATTATAGGTGTGAGCCACTAGGATGTTTGTTACTTTTGTTCACTTCTCCCCATTTCTTTCATGTGGTTATAAAGAGTTCTTTTTTACATCTTTGAGGGAAGAAAGGAACGTATACTGGTTTGCACTCCCAAATAAAACTCTGCCCTGGGAGAGAAACATTTTTCTGAATGGGAAGAAGACAACTTCAAAGAGGGAGAACATATAGGCCAAATCTGTGACTTGATTCTTGAAAGAAAAAGGTGGAGGAGAAAAATTCAGGCTTGAACAGGGTCAAGGTGAGTCCAGTGCCATCAGCATCTACTCTGAGAACAGGTATTATTTCCCCCTGTTCAGAGAGATTAAGAAGTTATGAGCTCATGGTCAAACGGATTGTCAATGATGGAAGTTCTATCAGACCTCAGATAGTTTTTGGCTCTCTCTTTGAAAATGGATTTATGTACCACAAAATGGCAGTCAGCAAAAGTGGAACACGTCAGGATGTTTTAAGATTTAGAGAAGCAGTAAGACAGAAAGGGTTTTGTATCCTCAATCAATAAAGACTTGGACCACTGGTTAGAGACACCTTCCAGTTCTCCCTTTGCCATCAGTGACTGAAACTGACAGCTAAGGTAAGGCCTTTGAGTCACCAGCACTTAACTCAACTGAGGATATTTTGTAACAGGATATTTCCTGTTTCTCAGATTCCCTGTCCAGCCAATTATGGATGGATTTGCATTTTAGTCAGGAAATTGTTGGACCAGCCCAGTTTTAGGGAGATCCACTTCCCCTAGGTGGGGTAGCAAGCCCTATAAAGAGGTCCTCTGATGCACAGCTTCTATATTCCTGGTACTAAGTCCTGATCTACTTTGGGGAACCTGGTGAGTCTGATTTCTTGTTTATCTAGGATAGTTTGGGTCATTTTGGATGTCAGATTTACTCTGGACACACAGTAAGTTTGATAGGTTCAAAGTATGGCCATTAGATGGATATTGCTTTGTTAATGAAAACTAAAAATGGGGCACAATGATCCATTATATTGACTTGCTTTTGCTTTTGTTTTTACATTGTTTCATATTCTTATATAAAATCAAGAAAATGAGGAGGATTTAATTTGAAGAAGAGGACAGGACAAAGTATTTTTTTCTCTTTTCATGTATTTTTTGTGTTTCTTTCATAGACTTATGACTTAAGCAGATCAGAGACCTTTAAATTATTCTGCAACAGCTCTTTGCTTTGTAATTTAGACAGGCTTCTGGAAACTCACAAGATAATGTGAACTGTTTATAATTTGCCCAGGATTTTTGAACATGTAACTAATTTTCCTGAAGATTTAGTTTTTTTTCAAATAGCATTGCTTGTTTCTTTGGGACAACGATGTTTTCTCTGAAAAAGTGGCATAAAATTAAAAGATTACCGGTATGCCAAGACTGGTGAAGGAAATTGCTAAAGTGAAAGGCAGAGGCCAAAAGTTGTAAAAAAAGGTATTGAGAGATTAAAATATAGTCTTGGAGGGAGGAGCAATACCTTGTGATGTTACATAACTTTTGCTTCTTTCATTTGTAGAAGTTTCTTCTTGTGAACACTGTCTTGTAATTTCTTTCAGATTCTGAGAATCCAGAAGAAGGATGTCTTATCAACAGCAGCAGTGCAAGCAGCCCTGCCAACCCCCTCCTGTCTACCCACCTCCAAAATGCCCTGAGCCATGTCCACCCCCAAAATGCCCTGAGCCATGTCCACCCCCAAAATGCCCTGAGCCATGTCCACCCCAAAAATGCCCTGAGCCATGCCCACCTCAGCCATGCCAGCAGAAATGCCCTCCTGTGCAGCCTCCCCCACCCTGCCAGCAGAAGTGTCCACCCAAGAACAAGTGATAGTTGCAAGATTTATCAGGACCATGAAGGCTAAAGGAAACCAAATTACCAACTTCTATGCCAACACTTCATCTTCTCTTCAAAGCCTGTCATGGAAGTAGAAGAATCTTCTCCACCCTTTATCCTATAATCTGCCTATGATGATTGCTGACAACAAAGTATGTCCTTCCTGAGACTACAACATTATCAGTCTCCAGGAGATGGCTGAGAAAGAGCTGTCCTCAGAGGTGCCAGCATCCCAGACCTTCAGAAGGAAGAGCAGCAGTTATATCCCCATTGCCATCAGAGGATGTCTTCCATGCCTTTCTTTCACCTGGGCAGGGATTTTTACCACATGACAAACCCTAACTATTCTTTCACTTCCTGAATAAAGTACATTTTTGATGGTATCATAAACATTTTCTTTCATTTAAAACCTGCTTTATTAGTGACATCATATTATCTTTTTGGTTTATTTCTATGCTTCTTTTACCTCTACTTCAGGCTTTTGCAATCATGCTTGTCTGAATTGTTTGAATTTTAGGTTACAACAAAGATTATTTCTGTATTATTTCAAACTCACATTATTATCCCTAATTACTGTTTGATTTCTTTGAAGAACAAATTGCTTAACCCCTCAGTAATTCAATCTCTCTTATGCAAATTGGGAAAAGTAGTATTTACATCACGAACTGTTTTTGGTGAAGATTAATTTAGTACATGTTTCTTGTCTGGTACAATGCTGGAAATGAACCAGAAATAAGTGGCTGCTTATTAGCAGCGTCTGATTATCATTTATATCATCATCATCAACTACAATATCACTTCTGCTCCACAGCTAAGTGGCTTGAACATAACTAGTATAGGAATTAAAAATTTTAATTTTAGATTTTTTTATATTCTGTCATTGTCTTTATTTTCTAACCCACCTCATTATTCTTTACACTATTTCTGAAAGAGTATTTGGATGTTAGTGGAGAATCCAGTGTAAAATCACAGCAGAGCTTACAATATAGATAGTACAGGAGAAAAGGAGAGGAAAGGTGTGTCATGAATTCAAACTGTGCCCCATTCTTACTTAAAAACCCCCACAAAATTCAGTGTCCTATCATTGACATTCTTTTCTGAAATTACTGACTGAAGGGATCTGAACCCACATTTGTAAAATATTGTGTTTGCATTGCCTCTTTAGATTTTAAAACATAATGCTGCTATGAAGTTTATTTTTTTTCTTTAATTTAATTTTATTGTTGTGCTGGGTAGGGCTACATTGTGGCATTTACAAAGGTTCTTACAATATATCAAATATATTATACTCGAATTCACCCCTTACACCATTCTCCTTTACCCTCCCTCCCCATTAGAAAAATAGTTTCAATAGGTATTTTTTTCTGTTTGCATTCATGTGTACACAGTATTTGCATCATATGTTTTCAAGTGCTTACCCTGCTCTCAAATAAACACTGGAAGGACGCAAATGCCCTCTCTTGTGGTCTAAGTTTACAAATGTGAATATAACTTGAATGAGGAGGAGATATTATCTTCTGTTCTGTGCAGTTTGAAACATTATCTGTCAATGCATTTAGGGCTTACTTGTTAAACTACAACAAAATTAGAAATAAGGGCAAAATAGTTTCTGCTGGGTATTGAGGGGGTCGGGGGGAGAAGAAAGGGGCAGAGTGGGTGGTAAGGGAGGGGGTGGGGGCAGGGGGAAGAAATGACCCAAGCCTTGTATGCACATATGAATAATAAAAGAAAAAAAAAGTAACTTGAGGACATATTTGAAGATCTGTGATTTCTTTTGTAGCACTTGGTTCTTTCCCAAGGAAGCTTAGTCAGATCCTTAGTGGGTACTTCATTAGGTTTTTTTTAAAGGTCCTAGGGTTTTAATTCAGGGCCTCATGCTTGATAAGCATCCACCATACTACTTGAATCATGTCCCCAGCCCTTTATCACTTTAGTTATTTTTTAGATAAGTTCTCATGCTTTTGCTCATGGCCAGCCTCAATCTGTGATCTTACTGTCTATGACTCCTTTTAACTGGGATTACAGATGTACACCACCATGTCTTCCCTCTTACTATGTTCTTTAAAGGGCTGAATGACAAAAAATATTCTTGCAAAGTTGAATAGTATGTCATGAAGTTGAGTGTGCTTTTCTGCAGGTAGTTTTGCACTCTGCTGATGACGAGAGTGTAATTTTCTGTGATAAATATGTGAATAGAAGATTCTTTTACTATAGAACAAATTCATGATAAAATGCTAAAAAGGAAGGGAGAAAAAATTGTATATTTCCCTGATGATAGTGTTTGGGATCAAAGAACTGTCTTGGGGGGTTGAGATGAAGACCTGGCCCATTAAAGGGGACACTTTCTGTGCCTTCATTTTATATCCTGTTCTTTTCCCATCCACCCACAAGGTGCCAAGACTGTGCTTTCTTTGAAGCACTCACCAAGAAAGTTCCCCATCCTTGTTGCCAGTGGCCATCTCTACAGTGCACTCTGCTGGGCCAACAGAAAGGAATTCCTCACCCTGCCTGTACAGAGACACATTCAGAAGTAAGTTAGGATCTGATGTGTCAGAGCCAATAAACAAGAATCACAGGTCTTCAGAAACTCAGAATAAAGTGTTGTGATTTTAAGCAAAAGTCTTGCATAGAGAATCATCAGATGTGTCGCTACTTATTTGTGACTTTCACAGATAAATATGTGGACTCCTGAATCTTCACTTGGCTTCCTAGATAAACCTAAGACCTATGTTCTTTGAGGAATTATAATTTTTCTGCAGTTTAGTCAAGAATGTTGTTTCTTGATTAGTTGCTCTCTGCATCTGTTTATCCCCTTCTTTCACACTCATACAAGTGGTGTGAATGTTTAAGTTAAATCTATGCCCAGGATTCTTTCTTCTTCTTTTCTTTTCTCTCTCTTTTTTTTTTTTTGTTAATGGGACTGGAGTTTGAACTCAGGGCCTACACCTTAAGCCACTCTACCAGCCCTTTTATGTCTTGGGTTTTTTCAAGATAGGGTCTCATGAACTATTTGCCCAGGCTGGCTTTAAACTTCAATCCTCCTACTCTCTGCCTCCTGAATAGCTAGGATTAGAGGCATGAGACACCAGCTCCTGGCCCAGGACTCTTTCTGTGTTGGTTCAAATAGCTGTTTTGCTATTCATTTGCTAAGTGACTTGGAACAGGATACTTAACTATTCTAAACATGAATTTCACTGTCTTTAAAAAAGTGAAAATAACAACCGTGTCCTAGGCATTAAGTGACTTAGCACAATGTTGACATGTAATTAACCAAGTCACCACAGGGGAGTTGATATCATTATGATTATGTCATCCTACTCATAATTAATGTCTTTCTATTTGTCCTAGTAAGGAAGTGGCATGTGTGAGGTAAGTTTAAAAAATAGGAAAGTCTCTCAAATCCTGATGTCCTTTTATATCACAATTGTTCCTTCCACCTAAGATACAATTATGTTTTTCAGACACTTGCAATTCTAGGAAAATGTACTAGATATAGCGCTTCCTATTACTCTCAAATAGTACAACGAACCCCCCTGAAATTTATACATAAAACAAAGATAAGAAGAGGAAAAGTTATGAATTCTGGGATTTAAACAGTCTCACAGTACTAAGATGCCTGGTTTTCTTTTAATCTTATGTATCTAAGAAGTGTTTGAGAAGCTATAACCTGGAAGTACTGACATGCATAAACCAAAAAAATTCCCAACAAAAGCTTTTTCTCTGAAAATGTGTGAATAGGAAAATGGCAGCCTAACAAGATGAAAAGCTCATAGGCAATAATTTCTCTACTCCAGTGAAATAACTCAGAAAAACTATCACCTCCTACTTCTTTCCCTCTCAGCAAAGCCCAACAGAAAACCCGGAATTCTATTCTTGCCCGGTCCAGATGATTTTGCTTAAGATTTTTATCAAATGTTTACAGATGAAAAACATTAATCCTATACAGTATCTCTCTGAGAATAGAGAAGGGTTTTAAACTTCCCAAATAATATATTAAGGTTAGCATCATCTTGATACCAAGGTAAAGCAAAGGCAACATGGGGAAAAAAGAGCTTTCACCCAGTATCTTTCATAAACACATATGCAAAATCCTTACTGAGAAATAAGCAATGCATTTTAATGCCATATACACACAAAAGAAAATAACTGAGAATATTCTTTACTTATCAGAGTTTAATCTTAGCTGATATCTAAGAGCTAAACTAATTTTAATTGCTATGCTCTGAAGGAAGATGATCAAACTCCATATTTATTAAGTATTCCCTGAAATTTAAAGTGCAACTTTGGATCAGATTTCCACCAACATGTTTTGAAATGAAGAAATAATTAGATAATTTTGGGAAAAGATACCTTCTTCAGAAAAATTCCAGATATGGGTATAGGCACATGGAACTCAGGAGTTGATTTCAAAATGTGTATACCCAGCTGGGTGTGATGGTGTGCACCTGTAACCCTTGCATTCTGGCAGTGCAGACAGGAGGACTGTGAGACTAGCCTGGAGCACATAGTGAGATCTTGCCTTAAAACTAATAAGAAATATATAAAGGGAATAATAATCACAATCAATTTACACCCATTATAGAAATGCAATGTTGCTTTAATCTTCAATATTTTGTCATATTGAAAGAGCAAAGGACAAATAGCTTCCCAAATTATTATCTCCATGTATGACTAAAAAGCACTTGATAAAATTTAATACTCATTCATGATTAAACACTGTTAATACACTAGTAAAACAGGGAAATTATTTAATTTTATAGTTATCTGAGAAAAATCTATGGTTAACGTCATACTAAATGATGGAAGACAAAAATGCTTTTTTCCTAAGAATGGGAATAAGATAATGATATTCACTTTTCTCACCATTGTAAGGAAAGAAAAAGTAAAGAAAGGTATATTGATTGAAAAAAGAATAAAACTGTCTGTTTCCATTGGCATGATTATTTGTAAAGAAAATTCTGTGAGCTTCATAAAAATTATTAGTCATAATAATA